GAGAAATTAGCTCCTGGCCCGGCCGCCGGGCTCGGGCTCGCTGCAGGCCATCCACCTTCTCTGCCAGGAAGAAGGCTCCCGAATGGCCCCGAAGGCACAACGGCGAAAACAAGGGGATCCTCGCCGAGCACGGGCCAGGGGACCCGCCGAGCACGTGCCCAGGCTGTGGGTCCTTCCTCGGTGAGACTCGGCCGCCGTGCAAGGAAGCCCAGGCAGGTGGCATCCTCGGGTCCGAGCTGGCAGCGGGGCCGGGCGCTGCCCTGAGGTTGTCTGCGCTCCCTGCAGCCTCCCTGCTTAGTCCCCTTAACTCAGCCCCCCACACACGTCTCTCACACCAGCGCGCTCCCCTCCTGCTCCCCGCCTGCGGCAGGAGGCCTCAGCCCCCGGGTTTGGGGATTTTGCTCAAACCTTATTGCTCTGAGTTTTACTCTAAAGCAGAGGTGGGCGGCGGCCTCGCCTTCTCTCTGTCTCCGTCTGTCCGGTGGGTCGAGGCGGTGAGCTCGGGCGGCTGCTCATGGGGTACGAGGCCGCCCGGCAGGGAGCAGGCAGCCCCCTCCCCCAGGGAGCGCCCTTCCCGAAGGTGCCAACCTTGGCGCTTCGCAGACTCGGACCGGTCATGAAGGGAGGTGACAGTCGACTAAGTCCTGCAGCTCCCAGGTACTTCATGGCAGTGAGATTTCCAGAGGTGCCACCAGCAGTCCAGGTCCTGGCCCTTCAGGGGACTGAGGCCAGGCTACCCCTTCAGGTGGGGGACAGAGAGCTCAGAAGAGTTGGGAACAATGCATGCCACCGAGACGCCATGGCGGTGCACGTGGGGTCACCACTAAGGAGGGCCAGTCCTGCCTTGGTGGGAGCCTGGGGGCCACCAGGCGGGGAGGGCGCAGGGCAGGGGCGGCGGGCGGCTGACAGCCCTGGTTCCAGGTCCAGGGTCAGCTTCCCTCACTGCCGCGGGTAGCCCAGGTCAGCCGCCCCCCCCCTTCTAATCAGCGGAAAATATGGCAAAAAACAAAAGCCACAGAAAAACCAGCCAAGCTCCAGTGACTTTTGGATTTAAACGGATTTATTTTGTTTGTTTTCTTTCCTTTCCTCAGTTTCGTAGCAAATGAAAAAAGAACCTAACAAAACGCAATGACACAACAAAACTCGAGCTGAGCTGCCGCCGACCTGCTCCCAGGCTCCGCAGGGCGGGGTGCGGAGGAGCGGGGCCCAGCGGCTTCCCGCCCTCCCTCCCGCTCGTCCGAAAGGCGATCGGGCTTTAAAAAGATCCCACGAACAAACGAAACGCAACTTAAGTTAAAATAAAAACACTTTCTTCACCCACCCCCATGCCAGGAGATTCAAGCCAAAACCTCCTCTTAAAAATTTTTTTTTTCTACTAGAAATTCTGTGCATTACTTTTTCTTTCATTTCTCTTAAAGGTTAAAACAAGATAGATCCCCGGGGAGGCAGGAATACGGTCTGGTGCACAGAGGAGGAGCAGCGCGGGAGTCTGCGCCCGCCCCACCCCCGCCCCCCGGGGCGCGCAGCCTCTGGGTCCTGGGCTTGGGGACAGGGCGGGGCGGGCGGGCAGGAGGGCAGGAGGGCAGGCAGGGGCCGGGCTCCTCCAAGCGAGCGACACATGTGCTGGGACACGGACGTCCGAGGGTGACCCCGGCGGGAGGGAGAGAGTTTCTTTCGGGGCTTTCTTTTCTAATCGCCGAGCAAAATAAATAAAAATACTTTGAAAATAAGACGGCTTTAAAGAGGAGGAGTAAAAAAG